CAGTGCCTAAATTATGTCAGAATTCGAGACCCAGATTCCTTAGGGAGCTTGATGAAGCAGAGTACCCTGACCTGCAGAGCTGGAAGGGGCAGACATGGATGCAAGGTTGTTTCTTGGGATCTCCCAGAAGGCTCAGCACCTGCAGGGCTGAGAAGAGCATCATCACTGACAAACTGTGAAACACTCTTTATTCCCCTAAAGACCATGGCACAGTGTTTCTTCTCTCCCATGTTCTCTCCACTCATGGAGATGGGTAGGGGGAGAGAAGTCTGCTTTCAACTGAAATTATCTGTAAATTCCTGACAATATTCGGCTTTGGATGTAAATATAATAAAAATCTAAAGCTTTCACAGAATATTCTGAGTTGGAAGAACTCACAAAAATCATAGAGTCCAACTCCTAAGTGAATGGTCCATATGGGGATTGGAACCATGACCTTGACATTACTAGTACCATCTTTATGGATAGAATGAATTTTATACCTGGAAAATTTCATAAATATAAACAATATCACTAAGGAAACTGCATGAGAATGGAATAATTTTATATATATCCAAATTTTGGAAAGATCCTAAAAACATCTGGTTTTGAACACAGTCCACTGGAAGGAAAATTTACAAGGAAAAGTAAATATCTTGGTTATTAGAACCTGAAAAAACTCCATTATTTCCTAAGGACATCAGTCAAAATATTCAGGTTTTATTACATTCATAAGCAATGCAAACAGTTGACCAGTTCTAAAAAAGAGTAATATTTGAAGTTTTTATCATTCATACTTGATTTACTATACAAGATTAGTTCTATTTTATGGTTCTTTTGTACACAACACCCTTCCATGAACAAGATTAGAAGGTAACATATTTTGATTATGGAGGCATTGGAGAAAAAAGGATAATTCTTTCCCTGGGAAGTTATAGTATATATGTTTATTGAAACTTCTGAGCAGGCACAGTCATCCTCTGAAATAAAGTAAGGGCATTCCAAGAAAACCCCATATAATTTTATTTTTTTATTTAATTTATGTAAATGCAAGTCACAAAACAAGCAGGGACTGCTGGAGAAGGAAAACTTCACAGTCCACCTTGGAAGATCCTTGCCTCAATTTTCTCCATGTTCCGGGTACCCTACACAAACCTCCACCATCATGGACAAAGGAATTATTTGCTTGCCTCCTTCCAGAGGCCTGTGGGTAAAAACAGAGGGAGAAGATTTCGAACTCTGTAACTGGTCAGGTGAAGGGTGCAACTGACTGACTTCCCACAACGATGAAAAACCACAATAGTATGTCTTTAATAAAAGCCTACACTGAGAAACCATAAGTTGCTGTCACCATTTAACTATTTTTCATCAGTGAAAGCAAGGTTTGAACTTAGCAATTTGTCTTTTCTGTCTTTTCAGATTCCATAAAAAAAGTTTCTCAGTGTTTAACTTTAAGTAATGCAGCAATGAAGTGGAATCATATATAATGATCATTACGTTTGGAGTGATTTATAACCTGAGCTGAAAATTAAATAAAATTGCTCCATATTTAACATTCACTGTTACCAGTTTAACTTTTTGCATAAGTTAATTCTTGCTCCCAATAAATCAAATTGAATTCTGTTTTCCACTTTATTGACCTTTTAAAATACTATCATGGTTAGTAATCAGAGGAGGTTCTTTTTTTTCATATGAGACTGAGACTGTGCCCACACTAATTTACTATGATTCTAGAAAGAGACTTTGTTAGTTCATTTCCCAAATGCAAGCTTTAGTGTTATATTTATAACAAACCCAAACTAACATCTTCATAGGATTCACAAGTAAATAATCTATTTTATAAGTTATCTTTATTTGTATTCAATTACTGGATGCCACTGCTGTTACGACGCTATGAAGAATGGAGATGTGTATTTTCTACATCTGAGCAGCATCAGTAACTGCAATGACAGTAGTCACTGAGTTAGCTGTCCACGTGCTACAGCCTGGTTAAAGACATCCTAAGAAGGAACATGGATGGATTGCTGCCAGACAGATTACCTGTGACTCTTATACTGTCATATGAAGCATATATAAAAAATCATGGATGGACATCTTTGACCTCTATTTATCATAGCTCAGTGCTGTACGGCAACATTTAAACTAAAAGGATTCTCTTTCTGTATCTGAGGAGCCATCTCAGAACGTTTTGACCTACAGTCATTACTTTGTGTCCCTTTGACCTATATTCATTACTTTATATCCCATTTAAGATTTTAACCATCAATTTACTCAGGGCTTCAAGACTTCAGCCAGTCTGTGTCAGAGGTCAGGCTGACATCTAATTTGGGATAGATTGCTCCACATCTTTTTCTTTATGGTGTTTGCTTTTTTTTCCTTTCCTTTTTATCTCTGAAGCACAGGATCCTGGACACCAATAGAAAGACTTAGTTGATGAATATTTGATGTATGTCAGCATGTTTATACCCAAGAAAGGATTCTGATTTCCCTTGTGCTCTTTTCCCTCTAGCATGTTTAAAGTAACAGACACAGGTTCTTTTCTGTTGTTTTTTTTTTTTTTTTTCCCCTTCCTACCAATCTACATGTTTAAAAATAGTTTGCATCAAGCTCATAAAAAAAAAATGAGGCAACCCATCTCAAGACCCAGTCAATAGTCTAATTCCTTCTTATTTTAGAACAGAGTTTTATAGTTACAAGGACAAATTATTGTAGGAAGTACTCTTTTCTCATTTAACAGTAATGAATAGATTTTACATAGAGGAAAAAGCATAAATTTTGCAATTAACAGTTGGATCTTCTTTTTTAGGATGACATCTCCACCTACAAGAGATGTAGAACAAGAACAGCAATGCCAAAAAATAACTAAGACATCCCTTCCTAAGGCATTCAGTCATTTGAATGTCTCTCTGTCAGTTTCTAAAGGATTTTTCAAAGGTTTCTATGTTCAGAGTAATTTGGAAGCCTTTGGTATACAGGCTTGGTGTGTTGTAGAGATTTAGCAGGAAAGATTGACACCTCTTCTTGTTTCAATATTTCTCATTTCTGGACTGTAAGCGTGTTAACCTCTGGACTACTGACCTTGTTACTTTGACTCATTTTTCTCCAGTACTGCCTGTCAGCTGGAACCTGCAGGACCAGCAGGAAGGCAGCACCATGAGCTGGCAGTGCTTCGACTGAGGCAAAAGCAGCCACACTGATCCCACCAACATTTGAATGCAGTGGGTGACTTTTGCCACTCCAAGTAGTCGCCTGTGCACAGAGTGTCCAGGAAGTACGAGTCCTGATCACTCAGCAGCTGGTCACCAGACCGGTGGAGAAAGTATGTCTTCCCCAGCAGCTGCCCCGTCAAGCACGAGCACTCTAGCACCATATGAGGGGAAAAGGGCAAAAGACATGAGGCAGAAAGGGTGAGAAATATGAGGGGAGAAAAAGGCAGGAAACGTGAGTGATAAAAGAGAGGGAAACATTAGGGGAAATTAAAACTAAAAAAACCTTGTAGAGACCTAGTAGGAAAGTTTCCCAATTTTTATTGTTTCCATTTTTCTGATTTCTGGACTGCAAGCATGTTTACTTTACATGGACTATTGATCTTCTTTCTTCAACTCATTTTTCTTCAAGACTGCCACCAGCCTGTGGTGCATCAGTCCGCTTCACATTCCTCCTCTTTTCCAAACTACCCTGAAAATAGCCAACATCATCCTCACAACCTACGAGTGGCTATTAGACAAGTCCCCACCACTTAAAAGGAAGTACCTACCAGGTGTGCTAAAGCATTACATGAATGAAAAGTATCATGAACCCAGAATAAGCCCTTCCTTACACACTTTTAAAAGACACATTGAAGAGCTCTTTTGATTCCTCTAGGTAGCACAGCAGGTGTATGTTTGTAGTCTAGGTAGCTTTAGCCATGTCTCCTTCAGAATCATAGAGTCATTTGGGTTGGAAAAGCTCACTAAGATCCTTGAGTCCAACCATTAACCCAACACTGCCAAACCCACTGCTAAACCATGTCCCTTAGTGCCACATCTCCAGGGTTTTCAATTGCTCCAGAGATGGTGACGCCACAACTGCCCTGGGAAGCCTGTGCCAATCCTTTTGGTGTAAAAATGTTCCCTAATAGACAACATAAACCTTACCTGTCACAGTTTGAGGCCATTTCCTCTTGTCCTATTGCTTCCAGATGTTTATCCTCCCTCCATGAGGTCTGGACTAAGATTGTTTTGGTGTACTTTGTAGTACTAGCTTAGAATTCAACCATGTTGCTGGTTGTGAAACTAGTGTGGCCTGTGGATTCAGTACTGCAGTCAACACCATTCTTCTTGAGTGAGCTTTTGGGAACTATTAATAGGAATATCTTTTCTTCTCAGAGAGGTAAACAACGGAGAAGACATCTTCCTACATCTTTCTTACTTTCTTCCTTCCTTCCTTCCTTCCCTCCTTCCTTCCTTCCTTCCTTCCTTCCTGGAATATCTTTAATAATCTTATAGATCTCTTACAACCCAAACAACTCTAAGGTTCTGTGGTTCTATTCTTCTGCTCTTCTATTCTCCTACTCCTCTATGGTACTATGCTTCTACTCTTCTACTCTTCTACACTTCTATGCTTCTATGCTTTTATTTTTCTATGTTCCTATGGTCCTACAGTTCTATTCTTCTCTACCTCTACACTTCTAACTTCTCCTATTCTATTCCCCTGCGCTTTTATTCTCTGACGCTTCTATGTTCCAGTCTTCTACTCTCCTTTGGTCCCACAGTTCTATTCTTCTCTGCTCCTATGCTTGTATTCTTCTATACTTCTGTCCTCCAACACGTCTATGCTTTGCAGTTCAGCTGGGCAGGCAGAGATTACCCGAGCTCTGATTGTGCTGAGCTCCTCTTGAACCACGTCATCACTCGCTTGGGTGACAGGGAAGGGTGTCCACAGCTCTGAGGTGGAAATTGTCCTGGTGGGTGGCCTTTGCTGGGAGTCTGACAGGTGGCTGCTCTCCAGCCCCACCGTCTACTGGCAACACTGGCTGCTGCCTACTCAAGGCTCACGTAGGCACCTGAGCTGCCCTGCTGCACTGCAAACACCATCTCCATGGTGATCTGCCTCCCTGGGGTGCCTGTCAGCTGGAACCTGCAGGACCTGCAGGAGGGCAGCACGGTGAGCTGACAGTGCCGTGACTGAGGCAAAAGCAGCCAGGCTGATGTCACCAACATTTGGACCCAGCAGACAACTTTCTTCACATCCAGGTAGTCACCTGTGCACAGGGTGTCCAGGAGGTACGAGTCCTGATCACTCAGCAGATGGTCACCAGACCGGTGGAGAAAGCACCACATCTTCCCCAGCAGCTGGTCCCTCGAGCACATGCACTCCAGCACCACACGAATGCAGGAGCAACTTGCTGGCAGCTGCTCTGTGGGGCCCAGGCTGAACGAGTGCCCGCGGGGTGGCCGCAGGATCACGAGCAGGCGGTAGTTGATGCTGTTCTCATGGATGCTCCAGGCTTCAGAGGTGCTGGTCCCAGTGGCTGGGTGCAATTCTGGCATGAAGTTCCTCTTGGAAAACATTCGGCATATGCCAAGGAGGTCACCCACCAGCTCCTTCAGTTGTTTACTTGTGCTGGACAAATTTTGCTATGGAATCACCGAATAGTTGCATTAGAATGGGACCTTTAAAGGCCATCAAGTCTGACCCCCTGCCTTCCTGCAGTGAGCAGGGACATTCTCAATTAGATCAGGTTGCTGACAGCCCTGTTCAGCCTTACCTTGAATGTGTCCATTGGTGATGGGACTGGCACAGCCGAAGAGCTAACACTGCTGTGTGGACCCTTTAGCTTCTCCTGCTCATTTGCCTTGTCCTTGGTGCTAGAGCTCTGCCACTCATCACCTTTGCCCTTGCACCTGGAGCTCACCTGCTCCTTGGCCTTGTTGCTTCTGGAGCTCTTCTGCTCATCGCCTTTCTCCTTGCAGATGGAGCTCTCCTGCTCCTTGGTCTTTTTCTCACTGTGGGAGCTCACTTTCTTGTTGACCTCCTTGCTTCTGGAGCTCTCCTTCTTGTCACCTTTGTCCTTGCTGCTGGAACTCTCCTGCTCCCTGCAGCTGGCAGAGGCACACTTCCTTCTCCTGGCCAGCCAGCAGCCCCCAGTGAGCAGGACCAGGGCTGCTGCTGCAGGGCTCCAAAACAGCCAATGCTGCTGCGGGGCACAAAGGAGCGGGTCTTCCACCATGTCTGTGCTCCCCTCCTCAATCTCCTGCAGCAGCTGAGTCATCTGCTGATGTAGGTAATTCTCCCGTTTCAGCATCTGTTTGGCTGTGTCTGCATCCATCTGGTAGTCCAGCTTCAACCCAGGATGGGTGGCCAACAGAGCCAGAATGAGGACCAGTGTTGGAGACATGGCCTACTGGGAAGAAAGGGGGTAAGCAGGTCTGGGTGGGAGAGAACAGGGGGCTGGGGGCACCTGTCGCACCCAGAAAGTTTCTCTGGACACCTGGCACCACTGAGAGCCCTGAGCCCTCTTCTTCTAGCCCCAAAGGGAGAACTATGCCGTGCTCTGGGGGTCCTAACTCTCATTCTGGGTTAGAGAGCCCCTAGGTATCTGCCCCGACCCCCATCCAGCCCAGCATTCCCCCTACATGGGCACTCAGTGGTCCTCTTAGTCCAACTGTGTTGGGGCTGGGGCTGCCTCGTGATGCCCCTGGCCACAGCTCCCATCGTGGCCCAGCCTCTGTGATGTCACAGCCCCCACAGCTACGTCTCCCAGCCCTCAAGCCCCAGCCTTTGTCCCCACCGCCAGGCTCAGCAGGTTCTCGGCATCCTCACCCCCGAGTGCAAACCCGATCTCAGCTCTTGACCAAGCAGGCAGACCCTGAGCGGAACCATAACTGAGTGGAACTTGGGGACTGTGGGTGGATCTTCCTGTGCTGACTACTCTTGACTACCCTTTAGGTGAGCCTAAACCTCACCTGGCGCAACTTGAGGCCATTTTCTCTCATCCTACTTCTTACTTCTAGGAAGAGATCGATCCTCACCTGACTACAACCTCTTTTCAGAGAGTTGTACAATTTGGCTGGGGCATTCAGCAGCAAACAAAAAGGGAAATCAACACCTTCTGAATGTCACATATCTCTTTAAAGGGCCCCATTGCTCATTGGTGCAATGTCACTACCATGTTCCTGGGGAGAACAGCACATACACTTGGCACATTGAGATTCAAAATTGCTGAGGGGCATTCTTGGCAGCACATGGAATTCTGTGCTTGACACTCAGATGGTCTCAGTCTTTGGACAGTCCTCACTTGACCTGAGTTAGTGCACAGGAATCGTACATTCACCTTCCCTAAAAACCTCCCCCAAACTAGGACTTATTTATAGGGACAAGTTTCTTAGGACTCAGAATGATCTTATTTCAGAAAGAAATTAAAAAAAAAAAAAAAGAAAAAAATTAAGTTCAATAAAGGAACCATCCTGTAGAATGAAATTTCAAAAACCTAAAACTTGAAATCTCAGTTTCCAGGATGTACATTTCTATCGCCGTGGACAAATAATAACAACCTCAAGCCAACCTTGAGACACTTAACAATGTGGTACATCCACCAGCCAGTCCTCTGGAACATCCTAAGTCTACTTCAGTAATTCCTAAGAAAACTGAGAATAAAGCACTTGAATTTTAATCCCATTTCTCAGTATGTTTGATATTCTCGATTCCAATTCAGTTTTTGAATTAAGTAACACACTTGAATTTAATTCAGCTTAATATCATTCCTTGCTGCCATATTGGATAGATGCCGGTCTAGGTCTTGACCTTGTTATAAGTGATCTAAAGAAATTCATGAAATCATATCCACACAGGCAGAAATATTAGAAGTCATGGATGTAAATATTGTAAAATACAATTTGGCAGAATGACTCAAAATGCTTGAGGGCACATTTCTGATGGCTGACCATAGAGTTACTTCAAGAAAGTAGTTCTGAGCCTCCACATGGGTCTGGGAAGAGACATGTATGGGTAACATGTGGGAGCAGAGCTTGGTCCAAATCTTGCTCTGAGTTCAGAGACCTTCAACACACAAACAAGAAAGCAAAGTAATTTCAAGTTCCAGTAGTAACATAGGTAAAAATCAGTGACCTGTGGATATAGAGGACAAAAGCAGCTGAGAAATTATACTTTTGAGTTTATAACATGCAATGAAAAGTACAAAATACATAGCCTATTTAAAGAGTATTTGACAATCAGTCTTCAAATGTGGTGGTTTGGGAGCTGGGTTTTGAGAACATCACTAGATGCTTGAACGTGAATTTCCTCCCTTTAATCTCTAAGTAACTGCAAACTCCTTTCTACAATTAGTTCGGGCCTTTTTAAAAAGGTAATGAGAATCAATAAGTTTCCTTATAGAACTTACAGATTTTTTTCTTGAATTAGGGCAGTTCAGAGCAGTTGTTCAATAACAAATATCCCAATCTATTCTCACTGGTAACAAAGAAAACAATTCTCAATGCATGTTTTGTAAGTATTGTGCTCTCTCTCCCCAGTATGTCCTTGTTCTCTGGATGTCCTAATGAGCTGAACAGCATCCACTGACAGCTTATGCCATTATTTGCCAGTTCACAGGGCTTCTCTCAGATGTGAGCTTCTATACTGAAGATGTATTTTCCTCCCTCTGTTGTGATATAGTGATCGGGGGTTTTCATTTACAGTTCTGTTCCTGCTGATATGGTCAGGGCAATCCTACACAGCACGCTTCTGCAGGTATATTTTAGGCCTGCTTTGGTTAAGTAGCAAAGACAGTTAACCAGTGGAATAACCATTATTCTTTTAAAGTAAATATCCTCTGTAGTAAAGCACATATACTTAAATCTGTATGTGCCTAAATATTACCAGTTCCTGATCTTATGTGAAGTCAGAAACCAGCAGTTTGATCTCAGAAACTCTTGTTTCTGTGTTTCACTGTATTGTAGTGGGTGGGTTTTTTTCCCTTGTGCATGTTTAGCATCATTTCTTTACCAATAGTCACCACCATTCCTCCAGAGAAAAATAGAATGAAATAAAGCCATCTAGTAAGCTTAAAAAAAAAAAGAAGACAAGCATACAAAAGCTTATAAACTTTTCCTACTTACTATTTCTAACTAGCAAAATAACTTTTAAAAGTTTTGTCTACTTCACAGATTTTCTTGGAAGAATTTTAGGGGAAATAGCAAAGAAAACAGGTAGCAGTTGTAGTTGATATTCAAAAGTCCCCTCCTGCAAACTCAAAGAGCACAGGAAATCAACTAAGGGGCAGTAAGAAGCCTGTGTGGAAGGAAAAGCTCCTCACTAAACTGTTGTATAAAAGGAGGCACAGGCTTCTACAGCAGCAGCAGCAGGGACAGTCAACCCCAGTGAAATACTAAGACACCATGAAAGCATGTGGGAATGGGGTTAGAAAAGCTAAAGCCCATACAGAACTGGATCTGGTGATGGACCCGAAAGGCAACAGCAGATGTTTGTACAGACAGATAATCAGCAAAAAAAGACTTAATGCAGATTTTCAGAACCACTTCCCCCCCCCTTTCAATTAGAGAAATTTTTTATTGTTCTCTTACACCATCTCAGACCTATTGTGCACTTCCTAGCTGCTAAGTGATGTTTACAAGACCTGTATAAGGTTTTCTTTTGGTAGATTATTGCACTTTCTACCAATCCATGCCTGCAGATTTTGCATAAATGCTGCAAAATTTCCACTGCAAACATGACACACCCACATATAGCAAATATTGCAGAAGAATCAGCATTACAGAGAGTTGCAGGAAATTTCCATTTTTCCATGTCATTTTAGCTTTCTCTCCACAATCTAAACAATATTTGGCACTGACAGACAATTGTTTCTCATCTACCCAAAGTTTCTGGTTTTAGTCCAGCAGCGGTACAATCTCTGCACTGGAACTCTGGCCATGGATTTATTTAGAACTTCTCTGAATACAAACTTTTCTAACATAGTGTAACTTTCAAGTGGGGTCTAACTTTTAAGTCAGCCCTTCTTTGTGTGGTGGTGTTGGACAAGAACCTTTAGGGCTACCACTATGATTTCTCCCTCATTTCTGTGGTAATAAAGCTGCACTTTCCAGGGACTCAAGTGGCACCAAGGCCAGCTGAGCACTTGCATGTTTAGTCATCAGAACACTATTTATCATCTAGTCTCAAAATGCTCAGTCATGGATCTGGTCTTTCTTTAGCAGAGCCCGGAATAAAAGGTGCTTCTGCCTGTCTTTGGCAACAGGATTCCAGTTCATGCAGAAATGCGTGGATGGCATTTGGTCACTTCATAACAGGTGATGGAAAAATATCAAAGGGTGATTATTGGTGTCCTAAACACCATTGTGGGACATAGTGCAGAGAAAGAAAAAGGAAAACAACAACAACAACAACAACAAAAAAACACCAATAAAAACAAACAAACAAACAAACAAAAAACCACAACCCCCCCAAAACAACAGATTAAGTTTCTAGGTATTAATAACTCTCCCATAAAAAAATTTTAAAAGCTTTCATTAGAACTTTTTCCCCTCTTTTTGGAATAGTCCGTAAAGAAAAAAAAATAACAGAATTATTTGAATCTTTCAATTTGCAGCAAGGACATAACTAATAACTGGAAACTAGTAATGTCAGCTCCTTTGTAAGCATCATTTAGGTTATTATAATATACATGTGACAGAAGTAACAGCCAACAGAAGTGATCTAAAGGTGTGGAGCCTATTAGCATCTGAAGATCCACAGGATGCTGGGACCTCTATTTTAACTCATGAACACTAATTTTAAGACCAGTTACTCTAAAGCAAAAAACTTGTCTACAAAGAATTGTTTTGGTCTCACTGTCACTGAGCATCCTGAAATGCACCTAGAGTGTTCTGTGATTCTGTGCGTGTTCTGAATACCAGTCCCACTTGGAATATGCCATTACATAGTCCCTACCAGGTTCTGCACCAGACTGTGATACAATTTTTTTTGCCTATTTCTTGAGTAAGCAAACCCATGATTTCTCATGAAACTTAAAGGCACTCGACACATTAACTTCAGCAATAACAGGAGATCACTCTGTAAGAAATTACTGAATTTCATTTATGTAAGCAACATGTCAGCATCTCAGTGCAAATAGATTTATATATAATCACATGAGAAAACCAAATGATACATTTTTTCTTTCTCTTTTTTCTTTTCTTAATTTTTCTTTTTTTCATTAGTTTCTTTTTTATTTTTATTTTTTATTTTTTTCTTATTTTAAGGGTCATGCTATTAGAGAGCAGCCAAGTAGTAGTGGCTGTATACAATTACTGATTTAGTCCCAAGTGAATAAATGCAAGCGTCACTCAGGACCTAGTGAGAAGATAAGGATTAAGTATACTTGAAGGAAACATCTTGTGTGATGTTTCCTACTGAAGTGAAGGAATGCCACATGCAAACTGAGTTTTCACACTTGTTATCTAGCCTATGACATAATCCAAGACTTATTCATTCCTGGAGTGGAGGAAATGCAAATACCTGCAAGCAAGTTCTACAGGAAGAAGCAATATTTTTTCACATTTTTTGGCTTAATTTATATTTTTAGAGCATGACAGATATAACAACACTATTATTGTGCCTTCAAAAAGCGTTCTGAGAGCATATGCACACAGTCTTGGGAGGTATAAGGAGTTAGCTGTGTTATTAATCATGTGTGATATTCTGAAGGAAGT